GGCTGTGCCGATCTTTGCTCCCAATTCACGTATTCTTGTGGACACATTGCTTCCAAAGTCCTCAGAATGTCCTATCTCTCTAAGGACAATGAAAATTTATGGGTGATCCATGGGCCGGTCATCTTCAATTGATGCAGCACCTGCCAGTCTATAAGCTCTCTCATTACCAACAACGCCTGCATACCCTGGGACGAATAAGAAAGTAACTGCACACACACAGGAGAATTTTACAACGACTCAAGCCACTGTCTGCGTAACCAGCCTGCCTCGGCCCGCCGGATCATGCTCAAAGAATCACTCAGCACACACACGCGGGAATAGTCCTGTGATCCAAGCCACACGAAAGCCTGTGTCACCGCCATCACCTCCATCGTCATGCTGCTGGTGGTCATGGAGAAGGCACCGCTGGCTTCATATCATTAACATTAACATGCGAACATGGAATAGAATTCGTGTAGAAATTACAATGAAATACATACAGTCGGCTTTTCTCATATTTTGTTGATGCGGTCATCTTGTAGACTGACAGGCCTGACGAAATGAGATGCAATTTACACAAACACACACACACACACACACACACACACACACGTAGATAGACACATACATACACACACACACGTACATAGACACATACACACACCCCTTGTTGGTTCCGGAGCCTATTGTGGTGAAGTGGAAGAATTGACCCACTGCCTTCCTATCAACCATGTCATATGAGTCGATTAATTAGGGGTTTCTTCGAAGTCGGGGTGCATCTGCCTGAGAGGCAGGAAACCAACATTCTACGTACAAATAAGACAGATTTGTAAAACGCATGTGCACACCGAAACTCAGGTTCTGTAACAAGACTAAAGTCCAGAAGTGGACAAACTACCAGAACTTTCTGCCGAAATTAGGAGCAGGTGAACACAAAGATACAGACACCCATACACACATCGAAAAAGCGATTAGGGAGACAACTGGCAACCAGAAATGTATGTCCTAGTAGCTTGGGCTGGCTGCTGCTTGAGAGCACTGCCGTAGGTACTGTTAAGTCGATTGCTATAACATACCATACATTTATTACGTATATATATATATATATAAAACTGTTTATACTATTATTAAAATATAGATTTGGAACCATCTTTACGTCTGTTACTAACTGGCCAAAATTTTCCGATACTTCTCTTTAAACATTTATTTCGAAAAGTCTCAAGTTTACGTGTAATTCCCGCTGTAATTTTCCAACACTCACTGTTGTATAATAGTATGTTGTATAATAATAGTATTCCTAAAATTTTGCTCTTGCATATTCTGGTTTTTCTCTTAAAACTAAATCTCTTTGACTTCCATATATTGTTAAGCATGGCAAATGCTTGATTTGCTTTGTTTATTCTTGATGTTACATCATTTTCACAATCTCCATCTGAAGTAACTTTACTTCCGAGGTCTATAAATTCTTCAAACTTCTCTGTTGCTTCATCATTTAAGATAAATGAATATTCTGTTTTGAAATTATAAATCACAAACTACTTTTCACTGAAACTCTAAATAAATAGCGTTGATCAAATGTACTATTTTCTGTTGTACACCATAGTATTAGAAGCAGTACAGTTCACTCCACTAGGACATCACACAAGCGATAAACACCCGATGTCACACAGTGCCACCATGTGGAATAGGACCACCCGTTGAGAGGTCCCAGAAACCGCGGTCAGCCATTAGACCATATTCATGTCTGGGCTATATTGCGGCCCCCAGCAAGAGCTAGGATGGGGCTTCAAAACAATGGAAAATTGCATCCCACGAGGGGATGACTAATTATAAATTACAAGAAACACCATAGTGACACAAAATCTTTCACAGTGATTTCCTTTGCAGGCTATCAAAGGCTTTTTCAAAGAAACATGTAGCAATGGTGTATACTTGAAAGCATTTTCGTATGTGCGTCTAGATCAGGTATAAATAGACAAAGCGGTCGTTTTCCTACAGTATTTTTCAAACATGTCATTCATTTTTTGATTTGGTTACGGGAAGAGATTTTTACAATTAAATCAATAATTCTGTTTTTAGCTTATTCTTTCCCGCCAGGCAAGATTCTATGTTTTGTGTCAATGAACGTAATAATGAACTGAGTTGGCTGCCCGTTTAGGGTGAAAGGGAAATAACTGTTAGCAGAAACATAAAATAGCTGTGAACATGTTTGCACTTAAAGTTTAGATTTCCCTAGAAACGTGAATTAGAAATATTGGCATGGCGAATTAGGCTGTCACATTTGCAGTCGTTAATTTATTAATTAGGCGTCCGCGCCACCTACTAGTAGATAATTGGCAGCGCATGGCGATTGGCGAACGTAACTTAGGGCAGACTGGGTACCCAACAGCTAAGTAGTGCAGCGAAAGGTTCCAAATGTGTTATTAATTCGCTACGTCCTTCTTAGGACGTAATTTTTTGTTATTTGAAGTCCCACTCTGGCTTTTGCCAGGGGCCGCAATATAGGCAGGCCATCAATATGGCCAATAGTCTGAACGCGGTTTCTGGGACCTCTCCACGGTGATCCTCATCCGCATGGTGGCACTTTGTGTCATCGGGTGTTTATAGCTTGTGTGATGTCCTGGTGGGGTCAAAAGTCAGTCGTCAGTCAAGGTCCCATATAGTTATAAAACGTTAGTCATCTCCTTGTGGGATGCAACTTTTCGTATTTCAAATACCCACCCTGGCTCTTGCCAGGGGCCGCAATGTGGCCCTACAAAAGTATGGTCTAATGGCTGAACGCGATTTCTGAGACCTCTTCACGGGTGATCCTCATGCACATGGTGGAACTTTGTGTCAACGGGTGTTTAACCCATGTGTGATGTCCTAGTGGGGTAAAATGTACTACTAGTCCCCTATGGCTTTCAGCAAGTCGCGATTAAGAATTGATGAGGCCCTTAGCCATATAAAGCCCTGAAACCTGTAAAGTTTTAATTTTCATCAGCTGATCTGAGCAAACTAAAATCTAAACGCCTTTTAAATACACATATAATGAAAATGTGCTGTAATTTTTTTTTAAATAATAGTTGAAGAATGTATTTGAAAAATCGCATAAATTACATTATATAATCCTCTAAAAAGGTATATGTTACAAATGAAAATTTTATTTACCCTGATTTCCCAAACGCAAAATTATTGATTATATCATCAAAAATTGTGAGGCGTTAAGCTGTCGCTTATTTAGCTTATATCTAAATCCAGTACCAGATTTTTGCCCCCATATCACCAGAAGCCTATATAATCAAGTTATGCTTTTCTTTTTTTTTTTCATTATCTACTCCATATTGGGGTTTTTTACCACTATACTGCTACTGCCTGCCGCCACCACCACCACTCACCCCCCCCCGCCCTCGCCATAGGCGCCGGTACGTAGGTGATCAGATCCCTTGCTGAGCCTCCCTCCCTCTCTCCCTTCACCACTAATTGTGTAAGGGAACTAGGAGGTCTCCTATATCTATTATACACATTTTCTTTTTAATTACATTTTATATTATTTCAAGTATATTATTATGTTTATCTGTCATGCAGCATACTAATATTAACAATGATACTAGCAATAATAATAATGATAATAGCAATACAACTAATAATCAATAATTTGTTAAATTAAAAAACAAATACTTGAAACAAAGGTGACACAACATACCGGTCAGACACCTTGAACCCCCCCCCCCCACCCCACCCCACCCCACCCCCAGATATTAAACCAACAAAACTGCAGAGGGGCTGAGCTTCCCAGTAACTTCTACATAGCAACATCTCCCAGCCACTGTATACAGATATTCTTCTCTATTAAGCATTTGTTTATATATTCCACATTTGTTTTTTCACATACATTATTTCTGGTTTGCTTTTCAGTACCTGATTATAATAATAATAAAATAACTAAAATTTTTTAAATATTACTGTTATCATTATTGCGCATAAAAAACGATTAAGCTGCTGAAGGAACACGCACTTCCAGATATATTTCTAAGCCCGAAGGCCTCAAAGAGTTTAAGCCTTTTTATGCATGCTATAACAATAATAATTACAAAAATGTTATTACTGCTATGCTTTTGAACAAGGCAATGATGAAAAACGATTTTGGGGTAATCGACAACACTAAAAACAATTAATTTTGAAACATAATTGAACCACGATCAGTCATGTGGTAGTGTGTGTGACTGTGTGTGTGTGTATTTACGTATCTGTATACGCATGTGTATGTAAATAAATGTGTGTGTGTGCGTGTGTGTGTGTGCGCGCGCGAGCCTGAGTGTGTGTGTACGCGTGTTTCTTTAATTTGCTTCTTTCAAATCAGCAATATAAGTTATGGTTGTTTAATGAAACAAAGCAGCTATTTTGTAATGATTGAACTTTTTTTTTTATCTTTTATTACAGATGGCCGGCTTACAAAGAAATTAAACTATCGATCTTGTGGCAGCAAACACTTCAAAGTGTCCGGAAGAATGAATCGTGCTAAGTCTATAATCCAAGGCCAAAGACGAGTCTGTAAAATCAGCGGTCTGGAACTTTATCCGACAAGTTAAAGAACATTGCTCGCATTTTTACATCTGATGTCGAAGAAGTATTGATGTCTTACAAATCAACATTGAAAGGCTCCTGATTATATGGTCTGCTACACGGGTAATCACACTGATTAGACAGAACTGTCGCGCTGCTCTTATTTCGTATACTAAACTATCAAACAACAACATACTGACTGAGCAAAAGAAAAGGAAAGGCAACAATTAGGGTCAGAGAACGCACAAAACAAGGGTAGACTTTCATACTGGACACCCTTGGATTCAAACCAACCACTTTCAAATTTAAATAAAGGCTCTCTGAAACAGTAGTGTTACTTCTGCATTGTAACAGTCTCAAGTGCCACAGTAGTGGTAACATCCATAGAGAAATCATATCCCCCTTGGAGTTTTACCTGGGTCTTGAAATGTCAGATAACAAAAAGACGTTAGAAAGATACAGCGTCAAGTTCTTCCATGTCTCACGTGTATATTAAATCAGTTTCTTCTTGGAATACTTCTTCAGTCAGTAATACCGCGTCCACAATCGCCACCCTGTCGCCTACAGCAGCACCAAGATCAACCGTCGCCCTGCCAGGGACCAACATCAGCGATCAAATGCGTGAAGAAGCCATGGATGTTGTTGTTGTGAAAATTATATCTCTGCTGGTACTGACTATTCTATCAGTTTTATGTGGTTTACTCCCGCTTCGACTACTTATCTATACGCCGCAGCTTTTCGCCAATAGCAGGAGTGCAGTCGACTACTTCTTGTGTTGTCTGCGCTTGTTCTCTGGAGGTAGGTTTGTGCAGTTTGAATAATGTATCAGTATATTTTCTTAGCGACGTCCCTGACTTAGGCGTTGTGAGTCCGACTCGTAATTAATACGTACCGCAATCGAAACCCACTGCTGGCTGCGTGGCTTTTTATCATGGTATGGGGTGTCGCAGGTAGACCCAGCCTAAAATGGGTACCAGGATGGCTGTCCTGAGAAAGTAAAGACGGCTGGCGAAATGCTGACCACATCACCCACCTAATGCGATTGTTCTGTAAAAATATGAGACGCTCTTCCCATTTACCCGATGCGCCTAAGGCGTAAAAAAGCGATCTTTACTTTACTTATGGGGCGTCGCAGGTCGACCCAGCCTAAAATGGGTACCCGGATGTATGTCCTGGCGAAGTAAAGACGGCCGGCGTAATGCTGATCACATTACCCACCTAGTGCTAGGGGTCTGTAAAAATACTGGATCGCTTCCCACATGCCCGAAGCGCCTGAAGGTGTGAAAAGGGATCTTTACTTTATATTTTCTTATGTTCTGTTGGTGGCAGGGTTACCTGTACAGCAAATACATTTCAGTATCTTCTGGGAGAGACAAATGATGCGTGTCTAGACTCAACCTCTAGGGCGATACCATAGATTTCGCTGGGTAGAAAGATGCCATAAATTTCTCTATATGAAATTAAAGATATTGGCCAGTTCTCTGTTCAGAAAGATACCAGATATTTCTCACTGCAGAAAGATGCCAGATATTTCTCTGTGAGAAAAATATTAGATAGTTCTCTTTTCAGAAAAACCTATATATTTCTCTCTGCAGAAAGATACCAGTTTTTTCTTCTCTGTACAGAAAAAACACAAAGCCTCCGAATACCCGGGAAGCATAAGCGTTGAAACTTAGAGAGCCCCCGCCACCTAGAGCGCCTCCCACCACCATCGAAAAGGTCAGAATTGGTGGAGCTCAGATCCCCACCTCCACCCATAATTCAATTTTTAAACTAGTCTAAGTGGTTAACCACGTATAGAAATTTCCGTTTACATTTTTTGAATATACATTTCATATTTTTAAAATCATATTATTATATCAATTTGGCATTCTGCATAATAATAATAAAATATATATATATATATATATATATATATATATATATATATATATATATATATATATATATATGCGTGTGTGTGTGTGTGTGTGTGTGTGTGTGTGTGTGTATATTTTCTCTATGCATTGTACAGGAGTTTTATGTCTTTTCATTTGTCAACAGTATTTTATTTCCCATTTATTTTTTGTCAGCAACTTTTTTTTTAATATTGAGTAAAACGAAACAAACATTCGAAAAAAAAATTTTAACTTGACATAAACTTGAGAAAATCATTAATAGAAAGAAATTTTGACTACGAATAATGTAAATGATTACAGCTCAAGTTTGGTCAATTCCTTGAAAACACGAAATTCATTTCCTTTTTTTTTAGTTTGCTTGAAAAGAATAATAACACAAGGTTGGCAGTGTGACAGCGCCCTCTCTACCGTGTGTGCAACGTCTTATCAGAAATGTGAAATGTGCAACAGCCAAATACGGTTTCGCTGGGACATGTGAAACATGCAGTTCCCTAAAAGCATTTGGGGGGGGGGGGGGTGCGGGTTGGGGGGGGGGGGGGGGTGGGGGGGGGGGGGGGGGGGGGTTCTAGCCACGTTAAGAGACCCAACAATGAGAATAACCTCCCTTCTAATTGATGCCTCGTTTTGATGTAGGGCCTCTACTGTTTCGCAGAGGTACACCCTAGGTCAAACGACTGTATGCAGCATATAATAGAGGTTGCATACAGTCGTGAGACATTGGCTGAGGCTCTTGAGTAGGGGGTTAGAGTTGGTCTCAGTTGTACATGTTTTGAGACCGTTAAAAGTGTTCACAGCATACAAGACGCGATATCTCCGGCTGCTGATGACAAGGAGTAAAATGCGACTTACTACGCCTGGAACACCTCCGACACAGTACACTCTCATTGGTGGGTCATTCTACATGTCGCGATAAAAGACAAAAAAAAAAAAATGAGAGTGACCTCTCTTCTGATTTATGCTTCGATCTGATGTAGCGCCAGTACTATGTCGGGTTTCAGACGTAGTGAGTCATATTTTAGAGCGAAAATTAATGTTAGACTTAGTGTTATTATGATACTTTACATAACATCGCTCCAATCACTTGGCTCACATCACATCCCTCCCATCATTTGTCTGACATCACATCGCTCCCATCACTTGGCTGACATCATATCGCTCTCATCACTTGGCTCACATCATATAGCTCCAGTCACTTGGCTGACATCACATCGCTCCCATCACTTGGCTGACATCACATCGCTCCCATCACTTGGCTGACATCACATCGCTCCCATCACTTGGCTGACATCACATCGCTCCCATCACTTGGCTGACATCACATCGCTCCCATCACTTGGCTGACATCACATCGCTCCCATCACTTGGCTCACATCACATCCCTCCCATCATTTGTCTGACATCACATCGCTCCCATCACTTGGCTGACATCACATCGCTCCCATCACTTGGCTGACATCACATCGCTCCCATCACTTGGCTGACATCACATCGCTCCCATCACTTGGCTGACATCATATCGCTCTCATCACTTGGCTGACATCACATCGCTCCCATCACTTGGCTGACATCACATCGCTCCCATCACTTGGCTGACATCACATCGCTCCCATCACTTGGCTCACATCATATAGCTCAAGTCGTTTGGCTGACATCACATCGCTCCTATAACTTGGCGCACATCACATGTCTTCTATCACTTGGCTTACATACCCTCGCCCACATCACTCGGCTCACAACACATTGCTCCCGTCACGTTGCTGCTATCATGCGGCTCCCATCTCATCGCTCTCGTCACATCGCTCCTAGTATATGGCTCCCATCTCATTGTTCCCATCAACTCCTTAGACAATTCCCGTCCCTCGTGTATTTCTTCGTCCGAAGTATTTAAATCTCATGAGTCAGCATTCGTATTAATCGGTCAACTTTCTGTCTGACTATGTGTCTATCCGTCTTTATATACACCTCTATGCCCGTCTATCCATATATGTGGCCACGTAAGTCCATCTATTCATCTGTTTATATGGTTGCCTATGGCACATTTCAAGCCTGTTTGAAAGATATAACATAAAAATATATCATGAAATCAGATGAGCTAATACCACACAAAATATAATTTATGAAATGCGTCTGACGTGTTCACAGGCGTGTACCTGGCTACGTGTTTTCTTCACTTAATGCCGGACACTCGAGAAAAGATTACTGCAGTGATGTTGAACTTGGGCTCAAGGACGTCGTATGCTGTTCCGGAGTTGCTGATCATGTCCGGCTTCTATGTGGTTGTCTTTGTGGAACAGATCATTCAAGTGAGCAATACAACTTTCAACCTAGTATGTGCCGTTTCTTTTTTCCCCCTTCCTCGTTTTACCATATCTGCAATGTGTTCGTATTTTGCCCCGAAAACTAGGATGTTGCAAAATCACTTAGATGAAGCATGAAAAGTGAATGTCTCATTGTGTCTTCTAATGTGCGTCTTTGTCAGTACTAAGCAAGACTCTTTTAAGTGTTTGTTGATTGCACTACAGAACGTTAGTGAGGCCTGAAATATTCGCATGTGTAAGCATTAGAGGGTAGCTGTTACACTAGAAAGGACATCGTGTGATATTGCAACTCTAATCGCTTTGCTTATTTATGCATGCGCAGCTAATATCGTAGTACTAGTAACTGATAGCTTAGCAAGAGTTGTGTAAGCATGCAAGCAACGTTTTTTTTCCATGTTTGAAACCTAAACTGAGCAGCACATTGGGAATAAATAGTGAACAATAATAGTAAATTGTAAAATTATGCATTTTTATTTGACAGGGGAAAGTGTTTTTAAAAAAAAAGCGTTTTTAGCCATTACATGTACGTCTCGGCAAAGCTAAAAAATGCAACTTTTATTCACTTCTTATGTAAAATTCTTCTCTGAATGCTAATTTATTTGTCCATGCTACTTCTTTAAGTGGCTTTGTTTTATATCTGCTTTGTGCTGACTCGTTTAGAGACAAGGAGGCACACAAGTGCTCCTTTACAAAATCATGAGGGTACAATTGTGTTGAAGTTTACACTTCCACGACCCAAAGAGACAGTTAATTATGGTAGCTGTCTTCAAAATGTTCTAAATCCCTTCTTTACCTTTTAGATATTGTTAATGATAAGCAGATTAGTAAGACTGACGACTGTTATCGTCTGATCATGTCCTTCGTGTATCTCTTATACTTTACAAATATTTCTAACCTAGCCTGAATTATAATTCCAATATGGTTTGAACTTTCCTACATTTTAATAACTCATACATGGTTGTGCTTTGTGCTTGTTTTCATTTTTTCGTGCTTGTTTCTCTAGCCCTCGATCTTCTTCTCTACTAATATTTTCTTTTTTAAACACTGAGCAACATTTCTTCGAATGTCAGAAATCACTGAAATTATGAATTGGAAGACATTACATGTGCCGAACATTCATGAAAACTGGCTCATAGGCCAAACCATTTCTCGGAAGTTAAAAATACAAGGGCATATTAAACACTTCAGTTCTACCTGTGGATTCTGATTTTTGTGTGTGGCTTTCGTGGTTTTTCTAGGCACAGTAGACGTTACGAACGCGCTTTGTAATACCAAGTTACCGGCTACGATCCCGACTGCAAATGATTTGTCATGCGTTGGTTTCGACAGTGCTACTCAGAGCTGACCGTTCAGTGGGCAGTGGCTGGCAAACTACTGGATGTAAAAAAAACTTGCCTAGAAAAACCACAATAGCCCATAAATGTATGGGTTGGTTCTGCAGCCTCCTGTATAGGATACGCAACTACCCAACCTAAGCCAGTTCCATGGTATCCCCCTCTATATTCTGCAAAGGTTGTCTATTTTCCATTACTGACTTTCAAATATGTCCATTTAATTGATGTATTTTATGTTAAGCTGACTTTGTGCATCCTTCGATTATGCCACATCTCAAAAGCTCCCTAGTTCTTTTCATCTCCTTTGTTTAGAAGCGTCTTTCAGATCTCTACAGTAAAGGCAATTTCCGTTGTTAACTGTCGATTCACTTTGTGTTCTTTTGCTTTGTAAGATCACTATGATTATTAGTACAGTGTAGTCATTATGATGTCATTTTTGTCTTTGCCTCTTGACATTTGTGTTTGCTTCAGTAAATGTCTAGTTACAAAAACAAAACAAAAAAAGTAGAGAACCTTTGTCACATCATTGTGCATAGGGCGTATGGAGTTTTAACTAAACTTTTGTAAACCAATAAGTATTCGGTGGGGGATGTAGTCAAAAAGCAAGCAATTGTTGAGAGTTGAACCTGAATGGGTAAGCTAGCAAACAAACCATCATTTGACGGAGCTTTCACACACATACACACACCCAGTGTATGTATATGTAGATGCACATCCATATGTACATACATACATGTATACACGCATGATACATACATACACACAAGCACGCACGCACACGCAGGCAGGTAGGCAGACAGACAGACAGACATGCATGTGTTTTTTTTTAGGCAGTAATTATATTTGATATTTTGCCAGATTCTATACGTCAAGGCGCTGGAGTCAGATGGAGGTCGCAGACAACAGAAGAAAGTCATTATGTCGAAAATCAAGTCTAACGGAGGCTCATATCAATCAACCCTCGACGAAAACGTCAACCAGGCCTGCAATCACATCAATCATAAAATCACCACAGATGATGAAGACGAAGAATATAACAACGTACTGATCGAGGATGAAGACGACCTGAGCTTCAGAGACAACGATTCCGAAGAGAAAAGCCTGGATTCCTTAACTCAGGTAAAGGGAAATCTTGAGCAGCCTTCCGAAGTCGACAGTGTAAACGTTCAGAAAATAGAACCTACCGATCTAAATAGAGGTAACTGTAATCACGTGAGCTCCAAACAACAGTCATCTCAACATAATCTGGTCAATCATCCCAAGCCATCGTCTTACGGCGACCTCAGCACTTTTGTGCTGAAGACATTCTCACGGTCCTCTTTTGACGTCGTGTCTAAGACAACCGGGAATGACATTAAAAAGACAAGTGCCAACGACATTAAACCCTATGAAAATTTAGGAACTCCAATCATACACACAAACACACAGCAGCATTATGTTCCCAATTCTTTGAAGCAAAACTGTCACATTAATAAATATCAAGGAAATCACGTTAATCATCTTAATCATTCTCAGCATAATCATCACCAGGTTAGACAATCGAATCATCAAGAAAAGCCAAGTAATCCATGTGCACTGCAACAACAGAAGGCGCTTTTTCAGCTGGTGCAGACGGCGTACAAAGATACAAAACACAATAATCCCCATCAAATACTGAGCATTCCAAGGCCAGGACCTCACTATCCTGCAGTGGGTCACAGCACAGATGAAGAATCAACTGATAATGAGGATGATGAAAGTAGCTTACACAGAACCAACAGTGGAACATCCGTTTGTGTCGACGGTATTAGTAACATGATTGACGATAACACGGCCGAACAACCGAACACATCCCAGAACAGAGACGCTGAGGTCCACGTATTTCCAAACCAAGACTGTAATGGCATCGATGTGCACACACCCGCTCAGTCATCTAAAGAAATCAGCTTTGACAGAATCTCTGGGTCCACTTCCTCCATGCAGGACATCCATGTCAAACGGGTGGTCGATGAACTCAGTAAATCAGATGCTTCCAGCAGAGCCCACCTTCGCTCCATCATCTACATAATGGCGTTATCGTTCCATGGAATATTTGAAGGCATGGCTCTTGGTTTACAAAGTATGAAAAGTAGTACGTGGTCTTTATGTTTTGCTATTGTCATTCACCGTTGCGTTTTAGCTTTCAAGCTGGGCATGGACTTGTGCAGGGGTGAAGAGAAACAAGGTACCACTTTTTTATGTATAGGAATGTTTACCCTCATTTCCACCCTGGGCATCATAATTGGCATTTTGATCTCGTCAGGGGCATCACTTTATTCTGACGTTTCCGTACCCGAGGCCATTTTACAAAGCCTAGCAACGGGAACAATATTCTACATTGTGTTTTTCGACATTTTATTTAAAGACTTAGACGGCAAAGAATACTTGAAAAGAGTCTCTTGTTCATTCGTGGGGATTTTCCCTAATGGCAGTTGTGTTTGCCGTAACGAGAAGCTAACCTTGAGGATGATGTACTGAGAAATAACCACAGACAGTTAGTTGTTCACAGTCAGAGACTGTAGACAGGAATCATTACACGATAATGCCTGTGTGATTCCGCCAGCTCCAATTATTCCGCCCAAGTATCGATTTCCATTTAGGAGCTTTAAAGTTAAAGCTGTGTTGGCGTTTTATGTGTTTTCCCCGCCCGTCCTTCGAGGACTAATTCAAATCTCTACAGCTTCGTGTCCGCTAACATTTATTTGATTTGAATATATGCTTCTAATAAAACGAGCTACAATTTTGTTTGTTTGCGAATACATGTACGTGTGTTTGATTTATGTGTTCCTATGTGAGCACGTAAGTCGTTTTGACTATAAATAGGTATAATGTTAATTTTGACGGCTAAAGACAAAGATGTCTGCTTAGCTGTTTAACTATCCCTTTTTTCTCCCTACATGCAAAGACACACACACATACATACATACATACATACATACATACATACACATACATACATACATACATACTGACATACATACATACATACATACATACATACATACATACTAAGACATACATACATACATACATACATACATCAACATACATACATACATACATACATAAACATACATAGATACATACATACATACATACATACAACATACATACATACCTACATACATACATACATACATACATACATACGTACATACGTACGTACGTACGTACGTACATACATACATACATACATACATACATACATACATACATACATAACATACATACATGACATACATACTACATACATACATACATTACATACATACATTACATACATACATAAATACATACATGCATACCTGCATTCCTGCCTGCATAATGCATACCTGCATACATACATACACAACATACACACATACACACATACATACATACATACATACATACATACATACATACATACATACATACATACATACTACATACATACATAAATACATACATACATACATACATACATACATACATACATACATACATACATACAGACATACATACATACATACATACATACATACATATACATACATACATACATACATACATACATACATACATACATACATACATACATACATACATACATACATACATACATACATACATACATACATACATACATACATACATACATACATACATACATACATACAGAACATACATACATACATACAGGGACATACATACAGACATGCCTACACACAGACATGCATACCTGCACGCAAACATACAGACATACATACATACGGCATACATACATACATACAATACATACATCCATACATACATACTACATACATACATACATACATACATACATACACTACATACATACATACATACATACATACATACATACATACATACATACATACATCATACATACATACATACATACATACATACATACATACATACAACATACATACTACATACATGCATACATACTACATACATACATACATACGTCATACATACATACATACATACACGTACATACATACATGCATACATACATACATACATACATACATACAGTCTACATCATACATACTACATACATACATAATACATACATACATACATACATACTACATAATACATACATACATACCATATACCTACATACATACATACATACATACATACATACATACATACATACATACATACATACATACATACATACATACATAACTACATACTACATACATACATACTACATACATACCGACATACATACTACATACATGACATAGACCATACATACATACATACATACATCATACATACATACATACATACATTACATACTACATACATACATACATACATACATACATACATACATACATACATACTACATACATAGACATACAAACATACATACATACATACAAGACATACATACATACATACATACATACATACATACATCAACATACATACATACATACATACACACATACATCATAACGTGCCTTGCAGACTTGCAGAGGGGATCATGCCTCTACACACTTGCTGTAATTTTCTTTCCATAAATATTTATGTCTGAATATAAAGACAATTTTGAGAAGGAAACAAAAATATTTATTGCCCCGTGACGAGCGTGTCGTGTCGGTGCGCATCTGCCTAAGAGGCGAGGAACCAACAGTCTGCATACAAATACGCCACATCTGTAAAACGTACTAAAGTTTTATAACATGGTCAAAGTGCAGAACTAAATGATGACACCTAACTACCCCACAGAGCTTTCATTCGACTAAGAATGAGAAGAAGATAAAGTAGTTATAACATGCCACATTACAAGACCTACTAAACTTAGATGGATGGGGTATGGCAGCTAAATGAGAGATAAAAACTGAGTACAGTGGAACCTCGCTTAACGAGCATAATTCGTTCCAGAGTCATACTCGTTAAGCGAAACACTCGTTATGCGAAACAAGTTTTCTCATATAAATTAATGTAAAATACGATAATGCGTTCCATGTCGAAAAATATACTCACAAAATGCTATGTATAACGTTTATTCAAAGAAAATTATATACATATTGTTAAGGAGAGTGGATCATCTTCATATTTTCTTCAAACGCGTAACGAACCCACATGGAATGCGAATTCCATTTGCAGAAAAAAAAAGTCGAAATACTTATGATACATAGTTAATTTTTTTTTTTTTTTTACTAGATGTCCAGAGATTTGTTTTTGCCAACGGTTCAAAATTTGGCGAAAACGCGACACAGCATTATCATTAAATAAATTAGCAACCCGTATAGCCACTTCCATATTAGGGCGATGCTTCTCAATGTAAGATGCAACAGTTTGCCATGCTTTCAGCATTTCTCTTATTTCGCCAGAAAATTGTTGCTTTTCTGTTACCTCCTCCTCCTCCTCTGACAAACTTTCCTCCAAAACGCAGCTCTTGGCTGTGCTATTCCACAATCTCTTTGATATCACTGTTATCCACCTACAATCCCATGATAGTGGCCAAAGACACAATCTCCTTGACTACAGGTTTCACTGTCTCGAACCCCTAAAAGTCACAAAATAGACAACACTCTCCGGCCAAAGCTTCTTCCAAGCAGAAGTTAGGATTCTCTTAGTAACCCCTTCTCCCGCCTTGTCGATCATCTTGAGGCAGGCAACGATGTGAAAGTGATTTTTCTCCAAAACTCTTTGAGAGTGAAGTTGGTCCCTTCAGTCCCCTGAAAACAATGCTCGAAGAGTGCTTTAGTGTAGGGTTTCGTAAAGTTAGAAATAACTTGCTTGTCCATGGGCTGGAGTAACGGAGTGGTGTTGGAAGGCAGAAACTGGATCTTGATGAACTTAAATTCTTCAGAGACTTCATCTTGTAGGCGTGGAAGATTCATGTACATATATAACAATATAACACAAATTTGAGAAAATGTGTGATCAAAAGTGACACTACGATGCTACTGGAACAAGTGCTATACACATACTGATGTAACAGGCGCACAATCCAGGACTTCCCCTCTCCTCGCCACTCGTTATGCGAATTACTCGTTATGCGAGGTGCTCGTTAAGCGAGGTACTACTGTACACACAAGAGTTGAAAAATATCAGATCACGAGGCAGACCAAGAAAAAGCAGAGAGATAACATACAGGCAGACAGGTACATATTTAGAGTCAACAAATGGAAAGAGAAGGTCAATCACAGAGATCAGTAGTGACGCGTGATACATGCGGCAGTGAACCGCAAGAGCCTGGAATGTTGAAGAAAAGGAAGGAGACGTGGAAGTTGTGTCATAAACAGACACGAACAAAGATTTATAGCTTTAAACAACCAAGATATAATAAACAACCAATAACAGACTTTATGTAAGGTTGTCCGTCAGATTTCCAACTACATTGCAAACAGGTCAGCACATAGATGCTCATTTGCCTGTGAAAAACACACACAATGGCCATCACTGTCCTATGTAAAAAAGGTAGGTAAGAGTCATGGTAAAGTTCCACAGCTCGCACATGCGTCAGATACACAAGGAAGCCCTAGAGTTGCTTACTACAGTATGATATTATAATGGCTATTCACAGTTGGCAGAAGCAGCATTGACGAAAAAACCAGCACGTGCACCCCCACTGAATAAAGGACAATACCAGTTATGACATCTTGACATTTTGTGTGTGTGTGTGTGTGTGTGTGTGTGTGTGTGTGTGTGTGTGTGTGTGTGTGTGTGGCTATTGTACAATGTACATCTGGGGAGTCGCCGTGGCGTAGAGGACGTTTTTTTCAAAAATGACTTATTCTCCCGGGTTGACCCAGCCTTGGGTGGGTACAAAGTGCAGTCTTGGAAAGTAAAGGCGGCTGGCGTGATGCTGACAGCATCACCCATCTTGTGCCGTTGGTCTGTAAAATATAGGTCTAGCCCTATGTACCTGATACACCTGAAAGGCGTTGAAAATGGGTGGTGCAAAATACATCTCCTGGAAAACAGACAGTAAGCATTCCCTGTGAAATTCACAGCTTACATTGTCGTAACATGCACTCAACTCAGTAGCTGCGTGGCGGAACCGGATTTTTTCCCAACCTCGTGTGTGTCTTGTCCAGTGCCCAGCCTAGGGTTGAAACCCCATATTCCACTGGATTAAGGTCAAGCACAAGGTCCATTGCGTGAATGTAAGGCAGGCTTCAGCAAGAGAGGCTAAGGTATATTTAAAGTCTTGTATCACATCAATACTATATAGGAACTTAAAAACGATGAAAGCCAGATGTTCGTTCGTTCCTTCGTTCGTTAAGGAAATATTGCGACAACAAACCAGCTGCTTCTTGGGAATTTAGGAATATAACTGTGGTTTGGTTTTATGTATGCCAGGTTTAATGGCTTAAATCTCCTTGGTTGTAGCTCCCAACTCTGGTTTACCATTGAAATTAATTTTATTTGCGTCAGATTTAATGATTTAATATCCCCCTGTGTGCTTCTTTTAATCTGATTGTCAGCTAGTTCATTTA